GGCCCCCTTTAGAATGATTCCTGAAAAACGCGAGGAATTTTGGGGATTCCCCGCCACTCGAGGAAATCTTAGTTCAAGGAATTTGGGACCCCAGGCCCAGGTTTTCCAAACGGTCCCATCCCCCCCATTTTCCACCTTCCGTACCCCCCCCCTGTTCTCCGTTCGATATCTGCCGACGCGGCCAATGCCTCCGCGGGCTCGGCGGCCGCCGCTCTCGATTCGGCTGCCGCGGCGAGCCTTCTCCGCCAGGTCCTCCGCCGCCGCCGCCACCACTGCCACTTCAACGCCCGCTACACCACTCCGGCTGCTCATCGTCGAGGCATATGATCGCGCGGGCCGGGAGCGCCTCACCTCTGCGGGCTGCACAACCGCGTCAGACACGTTTGCGGCGCTGCTTTCGCGCATCTGCCCCGAAGATCACGAGCTGCGCCTCTCGTACTGCCACCCGGCCGACTCGGTGCACGAGCTCGCTGAAGTTGGCGAACTCTCGCGCTTTGACGGCGTCGTATGTGAGTGCAGCGCCCGCCCTCCGCCCTCTCGCAGCGCCCGCCCCACCGCCCGCTCGCTCGCTCGCCTGAGCACGCTCGGTGGCGCAGGGACGGGGTCTTCGCTCACGATCCACGAGGACAAGCCCGAGGTGACGCGCCAGATCGAGCTCGCGCGCCGCTGCTTTCAGGCCGCCGTGCCGCAGTACGGCTCTTGCTGGGGCCTCCAGATCTCGGCGGCCGCGGCGGGCATCCCGTGTGAGCCCAACCCGCGGGGGCGCGAGCACGGCATCGCGCGCGGCATCGCCCTCACTCGGTCGGGGCGGCGCCACCCGATGTTTGACGGCTGCCTCCAGACCTTTGACGGCTGCGCCGCGCACACGGACCACGTCGCGGCCAGCTGGGCCGCGGCGCCCGTGTGCAGGCCCGGCGTCGAGGCGGAGGTGCTCGCGTCGAACGACTTCACGCCGGTGCAAGGGCTCGCCGTCCGCATCGACGGCGGCGAGTTTTGGTCGGTCCAGTACCACCCCGAGCTTGACCTCGGCGAGATTGCCCGCCTGATGCGGCTGCCGGCGTCGCGCAGCCTGCTGGTCGAGCAGGGGGAGGTGCGGCGGCACCTCCTTCTCAGCGCCCCCCCCC